TGACAATCCTGATTTGATGGCGGGAGCTGTCTAAGGAAAGCATGCGTGACGATCTTTTGTTCTGCTTCTTTTCCTTCTGCTGCTGATGGTGACGGTGTTTTGACATATGATGTTCATTCGGTAACGTAAAGTTAGCCTGTAACTTGTTGGTTCCGTGGTTAGCTATGAGTGTGTGCTGTGGTTTAGGGATAGTAGTTTGGTGTGGTTATGGATGGGTGCCGCATAGACTGGTTTGCGCCCAGATCAAAATTAATTTCATCGTAAGGGAGAAGAAGCTTGGTCAAGGAGAGTGCTTGATTCTTGAGGTGGAACTAGGGCGTTTTATTCTAGGGCTGGCTTGACTAGTATCTTGCAGTTATGTAGGAGTAGGAGGTGGTGGTCCCTGTTTGTTCTATCTGGTCAGACCTTCCAGGTAGTTGAGAGTTGAAGTGACTTGAGACAGGGGATGATGATAGCGTTGGTACATGTGGGTCGCTCGTCCGCCCGCCATGGCGCTATCCAGTCACCCTACCCTTACTAACGTAAGTTAAGTACGAAAAAGTACGAGCGAAAGTGAACTGATGGACCTTGTTGGGCAGGGGTGGAATTTTCGATCTTTTTTTTTTCTTTTTCGCGCTAGTCAATACTTTCATAAATTTTTTCTTGGAAACGGAAAAGAAAAGAAAAAAAAAGTTCAGAGGTCCTTGTGAAACTGTGAGATAGAATGCGACGATAGGATCGCAAAGCCACAGATACTTGAGGGAGATCCTATCAAAGGTTGCCGAACTTGAAGACGCCATTGATCAGGGTAATGTCACGCGAGTCCATCTACTACTTACTACTACTGGCCGCAGAATCCTCACGGATAAGGCAAGGCAGTAGGCTGAGATGGAGGGTGTCCTTGGCCCCTGGTTGGCCCCCGAATTCACAACAATGTTCGGGCTGTCACGAGGGGGTTTGCCTGTCGCATGGATGGGGATGGCCATGATTGCCGCTGGGATTGGTATTTCGCCCCTCCTCCACCTTCATACCTGACGATAAAACAGGTTCGCCGCCATCGGAGCAGGAGGAGGATGAAGAAGACGATGTTGGTGATGACGACGATAATAATAATTATTGATTTTCCCTCCAAGAACAGATCCTGCACATCGTTAACCAAAACGACGACTGGTCGGTAACCGAGCGTCTAATAAATTGCAACCTACGGGCAGAATACCTCAACTAGACTAAAACACGGAATCCTAGCAGTAGCCCGGCGCTTAACACCTGACTAGCTCACTAACATGCCATAGTCGGAACTAATCGAAGACTACGGAGAAGCCTTGAGAGAGATCTTGGTGGATCAGGTTGGGCAGGGAATGTCCTGCTTCCAGACTTGTATATGTGAAACATACAATCTTTGCGTTGAATTTGATACACCACCCAAAGACCACTTGTTTTACTTCCCTGCCTAGATATAATCTACACCAGGGTATGAAAGGTTAAAAAGGAGAGGAATAAGGAGAGCAGAGAAGATGCCACTTGTCTGAATATTGGAACAGCGAACTGACTCAACCATGGTTGTGTAACGGCCCAGCTACAAGCTAAACCCACCAGGATGATCTGAATAGGAGACCATGGATCAGGACCGAATGGGTGGCTTGGGTCCCACAAACACGGTGAGCAGGTGATACGGGTAAACATAGATTCTTCAGAAGTGGTCTAATGAGTTTCTTTCGAGTCTAAAACATGGAATAAAAATATATAAAAAATAAAAAAAATAAAATGAATAAAAATAAATAAAAATATTTTTTCTTTTCGCCTATCCATCTGATCTTTCAGATAAGTTTCGTTTCAGCTGTCTGGATGGGAGTTCCCCGATGATAAGGTAATCATGTCAACAAGCGGGTTAAGGCCAACTGCTCGCGAGCCGTTAATCTGCACGACGGGTAGCCAACTAAGAATGGAGGGGAGCTGGCGACCTGTCATCAAAAAGGTAGTTCTAGCTTCTCGCAGGAGTTGTCTGTCTTCGGGAACGATTCACCATGGTTTCAACCGCCCTTTGACCTCATAGGGGGGAGGGGGACGGGGAGGCCAAGGGTTAAGGATTTATTACCCATTATTGGGCCGATGCGAGTAGTAGACTAGGAAAGCTCTCGCACCGGCGCAAGAGCCATCGTGTAGAAAATTTTTCGTCCAGTGAATTACCTCCCGACGGCCTGATTTATAGTTTGGACCCAATAACCGGCCCTTTTCTCCATCGATGGACACCTTTTCACACTGGAACGGGGTTCTCATTCTGACGGAGTTACTCCGGGCTACCTTGCCATGAAGTTGACCACTCCGGAGTAGAACTTCCAGTAAGGTACGAGCGTCGATCTGCAGACTACTTACATATATAATTCAAGCACATAAGATGTAGATGCCCAGTAAAAGATCTGGATTGACGGTCCCCATATACAGTAGTGAAGGGGGAATGATAGTAACGTGTCTGTGTGTGGGTTGTAAATCTTTTTTAATTTATTTTATTTTTATATTTTTCTTGGTAGGATGGTCTGATGATGATGGGTCAATCGAAGTAAGTAATTGGGGGGGGGTCAACCCCTGATTGTTAGGTAAAAGGGCAAGGAAAAAATAAAAATCAAATAGAATAGAATAAAAATAAAAGAAAAATAAAAAACGGAAGGAAAAAAAAATAGCAGTAGACTCACACCCTCACACACCACACACACCACACACCCAAGTGATTAGACACTTAACCCATGATAGTTTAGCCCTGGAGTGGCCATCCCAGTATCAGGCCCACCCTCTTTCAGTCTAGGCTCTAGTGCCGCCCTGCAGCTCCCTGCCTGTTTGGGACGATGCGCCAATGACCAGGCCTCGTCGCCCACACCCTTTCATTTTCGCCCTCGCCCTCGCCCTCCTTTCGGCCCCTGCTCCTGCTCTCCCTCCCCTCTTTTTCTTGTCGCTTCCTTCCTCTTCTTCTTCTGCTTCTTTCTTTCTCTTCTTCTCCTCTTCTTTTCCCTCTCCATATTCATTCTAATCGTGACTGTCCGTCCCGGGTTCATTTCTTTTCCCATCCACCTTTTCCCCTTCATTGTGATACCCGAGCTCTTGTAGCTTTGCGCAAAGAGAGCTTTTGTTTCCTTCTGTTGAGATACCCCTTAAAGAGATACCCTGCTCGACGCGCGCCTTTAATTACGAAGCTTCGCCAGCTTCCCTAGCTCTTATTTAATCCCATCCCTACTGATTATAATTACTCGTCTAATCACCACCCGACACCATGTCCGACGTTCAGAAGCCTGTCGAGGAGACTCCTGCGGCTGCCCCCGCCGTTGCTCCTGCTACTGAAGCGCCTGCTGCCACCGAAACCCCGGCCACCGAGACCCCCGCCGCTGAGGAGCCCAAGGAGACTCCCGCTGAGACCACTGAGGCTGCTGCCCCCGCCGCCGCGGAGGAGTCCAAGACCGAGGAGACTCCCGCCGAACAGCCCAAGGAGGAGCCCAAGCAGGAGGAGGTGACCCCCGCTTCTGAGGGTGTCCTGGGTTACAAGGCCCCCGGTCTCGTCAAGTAAGGCGCCACTTGTTGCGACAGGTTTACGGTATGCAGTGACTAATGGAGTGTGACACAAAACAGGGGCCTCCGTTTCGCCAAGCGTTTCTTCTACTTCAGCGACGACGCTGTCGAGTCTAAGCAGCTGTCTGCCTTCCACCAGAACGAGAAGGCCGCCGTCGCCAACCCCATCGCCGCCTGGGCCAGCCAGACCGGCAAGGGTCTTCTGTTCTTCACCAAGCGCGCAGAGGACAAGGCCTCTCCCGCCGGCATCTTCAACCTGGTCAGTAAAGATGATAGACAACCGAATAATCTTTGCGCCAGTTGCTAACTCGCTTGCCAGGCTGATGTTTCCGACATTGCCAAGGAAGGCTCCACCGAGCTGCACTTCAAGGTCAACGGCCAGAAGCACACCTTCCAGGCCTCCAGCACCTCCGAGCGTGACAGCTGGATCGCCGCCCTCGAGGCCAAGGCTGCTGAGGCCAAGGCTGAGAAGGAGGCTGTGACCTCCAGCGAGGGCTACAAGGCCGAGCTCGAGAAGCTGAGTAAGTCACATTCGTAGTTGAACAATGTATAAAGTTAGGCCGCTAACCCCCAACAGGCAAGCCTGCTGTTGCCGAGCCCGCTAAGAAGGCCGAGCCTAAGGAGGAGGCTGCCCCCGCCGAGGACAAGAAGGAGGACAAGGCTGCCTCCAAGAGCCGCTCTCAGTCTCGCAAGAGAGCCAGCATCTTCGGAACTCTTCTTGGAAAGAAGGAGGAGGCCAAGGAGGAGGCTGCCCCTGCTGAGGACAAGGAGGACAAGGCCGAGGAGGCTAAGCCTGCTGAGGCTGCTACTGAGGCCCCTGCTGCTGAGGCTTCGGCTGCCGCTGAGACCACTGAGGGTATGTTACCGTATAAGAATGCCTTGAGTGTACGAGTACTAACGCCAACATAGCTGCTCCTGCTGAAGCCAGTGACAAGAAGGAAGAAAAGGAGGAGAAGAAGGAGGAGAAGGAAGAGAAGAAGGCTGAAACTCCTGCCCCCAAGTCCAAGCGTGCTTCTCTTTTCGGCAACTTCTTCCAGAAGGTCACCAGCCCCTCCCACGAGAAGTCGGAGAAGGAGGCCACTGCTCCTGCCGAGACCGCTGTTGCTAGCACTGCTCCTCAGCTGGACAACCCCGTTGAGGAGGCCGCTGTGAAGCCCATCGAGCCCGAGAGCGTGACTGCTCCCGCTGAGGCTGAGGCTGCCAAGGACGCCGCTCCCGCTTCTCCCGCCGCTGAGACCCCCAAGGACAAGCGTCGCACCTCTTTCTTCGGCAACTTCGGCAAGAAGAAGGGTGACTCCGACAACGAGGGTGCCGATGGCGAGCCCAAGCCCAAGGGCAACAAGCTTGGTGGCATCTTCCGCAAGCCCAGCAAGGCCGTGAAGTCCGAGCCCAAGGAGGCCAAGGAGGCCACCGAGGCTGAGGCTGCTCCCAAGGAGGCTCCCGTCCAGGAGTCTCCTGCCGAGGAGAGCGCTAAGCCTGCTGAGGCTGCTCCCGCTGAGGAGTCCAAGCCCGTCGACGTCGCCACCTCTACTCCTGTTCAAGCTGCTGCATGAAGTGCTTCCCGCAAGGAAGTCGAGTATGAGAAATGGTGGGACCAGCGATATTCGTATCCTAACCCTTCAACTACTCGATGATCAGTCGTTCTGGAAAATGAAAAGCCCGGAAAAGAAAAAAATACAACCAATGATTGTTACTTTTTGTGTCTAATTGATGTTCCCACTGGCACCATGTTGGTATCCCTCTCCCTGTGCAAGGCGAGGTCTGCCAAGATGAGTGTCAATGATACCCTCTGCTGCTTTGGCGGTCATTTCCGAGCCCGGATGTCTATTGCGTGTCCGGTGCTGCGTTTCATTCCTTTATGATATGCGTTCCGCAAGGATACCCAACTGGCCTTGTGTGTTCATGTTGTGCGCCGTCCAAACTAGATTGATACCACTTGTTGCTGTTTATTGCTTGCTCTTTGATGTTCTCATGTTGCTGTTTGATGCTTTTGTCTTGATACCCTACTGGGAGGAAGGGTGCTTTTTGCCAGCTGGACGGGGAGTTCCCTCCACTCAAATTGGCCCGAACCGTCGACTACCATGGCTACATGGTGACAGCGTGCTGATAGCGCCATGTATACATGGCACAGCATCATGAGGTAATACTTAATAGAATCCACGTATTGTTAGTAACATATCCACTATACTCTATTTCAATGCCTAGTAGTAGTGTATCCGAGGTGTTAGACTTGGGTGATTGTCGTACTTTGTTAAGGGCCACATGCATAACGTGCTGACGGTCCACTTGGTGTACGGGGTGGGGACTCTTGAATGTAAGCTTATTATAGAAGATGAGCATGGACGTTGAGCTGGCGGCTGCAGTATCAAGCCGCTGATAAGATCATAAAACGACCCATCATTCAACAAGTATCCGATATGGTGTAGTGGCTAACATCGCCGTCTCTCACACGGCAGCCGGGGGTTCGATTCCCCCTATCGGAGTTCAACTTCTTTTTTTGTTTTCTTTCTTTCATCCATTGCACATTGATTTTTTGTGTTATACATAAATGAATCTTCTAATTTTGACCTCAAGTAGCTGTTGTTTGCTGTCTAAGATAACTTACTACACAAGTACTAGTACATACACCGAGCCTTGGAACTAACAGATCTACACATCATCTGCATTTACTCTGGATGTAAATCGGGAATAATACCAGTCTCACATCGCAGATATATATCTACCGGGTTATCATGATGCTGTTAGGTCAAGTGCACTTCTTGAGGCAGTATCTATGATCATTATCGCCACCGTTAATCATATGAAATAATTTTCTCACCAACACCCCCTTCAAAGCCGTATCCACAGGTGGGTGTATATATACAGGAACAACTAAGCTTCCAATCCTGATGTAATAGTGTAGTAGTCTAAGATATCGGGTGGGTAGTAGTATCACTCTTACTACTGTTATCACTATACCACAATATACCGGTGCTTTCACTTCTGTATTCTGGGAATCTGTGTTGGTTAATTGTTGTCTAGTCTCTCCATATATCTATCTATCTAACATTCGGCATATCGTAATGTGCTAGCAGTACGCAATGGACGTACCCCGTCTAGATAATTCTGGGAATATGTGGAGTTGATGCCTGGGGGTGGAGTGGGGTATAGAGTGGTCTGGTCTGGACTAGACTGTGCTCCGTTGCGCATCAGGCTCGTGTGTATGTTTTCTTCTGGATGTTGGGTATGCTGCCTAGTAAGTAGGATTCCGGTTCGGAGTCTTTGGGGTGAACCTTTATCTTGGCGAGGTAGTTTCTTGACTTGGGTGCCTGGAGTTAAATAGATGTTTAGGCATCAGGGTTCCTGAATTAGCGGGGGGGGTATAGGTTGTTTTGACTGGAAGGTAGTAGGATGGGTAGTAGTTCGGTTGTGGCTTCTGAGACATAGCGTATGTGGGTGCCTGGTTGTGTTATCTTGCGGTAGTAGATCCCTCCTGGGGAAGGGGTTACTTGCCGTGATGGTGGCGGGGGTGGTAGGGACTAGATTGGTGTGTACTCTGTAGACTAGCTGTGCTGTAGGCATTGAGGGTAGTGAGGCTGCATAAGCTGTATCTGTGCTTTGGGTGGATTCAGTGGTTGTGTTTCGGATGTGGGGTTTGATTACTAGGTGGTAGTAGATATGTAAGGTTGTGGTCCTATACTCATCAGGTGTGGATGAATATAGCTGGGGCGAGTTCAAGCGCCTAGATACTGCTGACAGGTGGCCAGAGCTTATGTTGCTTGATTCGCTTGGTAATGTCAGTGATTGGTTCCAATCGTGTTGTGCTGTTCTGCATTATGTTTCTTCGGTATATATATTTCAGTAGAAAAGAGTGACCGGAGATATAGGTTACGACACATACAGAATTCCTACATATGCACAACTACCATACACGGCATTCAGAGCAAAGCATTAAATGAGAAACTGCATTCCCCTTTCGACCGAATCCAAAAACATAAACAGGGATAATCGACAACATGGGCACTTGACAACCCACGCAGCCCTGGCAGCCTGGCGCCTGCACGGAGCGCACGGGTGATTCGCCTAGCGCCGGAACCATCACCGTCGCCAATTCGACAGGAGGGGGAAGAAAGGGTTCAAGGAGGGGGGAAAGGGAGAGGGAGCATATGCAAAAGGGATCACACATCACGGCTACTAATACTACTATTGTTATTCGTGCAATTGTCTCGCATTCGTAGGGTCTGCCTAATTAGCTTGAACGGAAGGGACTAGGTATACTCAGGCTAGGCGCACATGCAACACGAATCAAACCCGTAAGTTTCAAGATGAACACGAAAATGAAAGCTTGGTTTTACGCTTCCCGAGTCGTCGACAATTTCGTTCTACTGTGTAGTGATGACCAGGCATCATCGACTCCCTGGACAAGACGTCATCGCCGGCGGCTGCCTGGGGACAGGACAGGCATGGTATAACCGGCCTGCATACGGCGGAGATGCGCGCGCGCCGCGGCTGATGTATGCAGACGCTGATTGGCATCCCCACTCGGAGCAGGTTGCAACGGTATCTACTAGCTAGCAGGCATGTACATACGTACGACATGTGCAATCTCGAGATGTGTTGAATTGTCCGTCTCCTGGTCAACTGAGGGTTGACTTGGCAGGAGACGGTAGGTACCTACATGGTAGGTTGTGAAGTCGGAATTGTTGCCTAGTATTCTCCCTCCATTTACTCCTTCTAAACCCCGATCTTAGAAATGCCAACTTCGGATGGAAAAAGAAACACAAGTGAATTTTTTTTTTTTCCCGCTTTGCAGGTAATTGGCTTTTAGGTTTCACATGGGCCGGTTGGTCCCGTGCATTACTAATTAGAATGAGGAATTCCAATAGTCTTGGTCTAGTCCAGTAGTTATCTTTTATGCTCCGCCCGGAATATACGACGCAGCTCCCCGGAGATAATACGACCCCGACGACGAATATACCATCCCTGTTGCAGCGAGAATAATCTCCTTAAAATCTGACGGGACCGGATTCAATTTAATTCCCTTGTATTTGTGTGAATCCTTCCTAGGGCAATATTTCGCCAAGGGTCGTTTTAATTTAAAAATCTCATTTGTGGTCAGATGAAGGCCGGAACGTCTCGGTGTCTTGATAGAGTTTGACCCAAGTGGAATTTCACGCCCTTCGAGCGACTTTGGCGAGGAGGGGGGCTGCAGGGCGGGGAGGGAGTTAGGGAAAGGATCCTCCGACCGGGTGAAAAACCCTGGTTGCAAACCGGCTCTGTCTTTTTTGTCTAGTATCCCTTGGGTGCGGCATCGTATTCCTGCGGCCCCAGTGAACCGGGACAAGGACACGGTAGCCAGGAGTTGAGGCTTAGATAGATAGAGAGATCCTACAGAGCACAAAGGGAGTGACAGTCGCACGGGACAAGAGAGTGATGGACACAGGACAAGTCTCATTCGCAGACAGTTGAGACATTGAGGCTCAGGCTCAGCCCCAATGACACCCCCGGGCGCTGCACCAAATGCAGACCCCGACGGGCTGTGATGAAGGCCCAGAAATGCATGGTGCCTGCTGGTTGGCCAATGGGTCCGGTCGGCGGCACGGGTGCGAACCGGTTTCATCATCCACACTAAGTCGCGCGGCCTCTTTTTTTTTTTTTCATTTCAATTTTGTTTTTTCTAAGTTTCTTCCTTTCATATTAGTCTAGTGGTGGTGGAGTTCAATGAAGGAGTCGAAGCAGGGCCAGGAATCCAAGGTTGAGGGGGGCCTGCTGCTACTGGGCCAGTGACCTGCAAGTGACATTTCCGTTGCGGGCTGAATGGAGGAAAGCCTACGTACCTGCCTGGTACTACACAGTAGAATAACAGGATGATGGAGACTTGCTGCTCCAGGCACGGGAATGCCTGGGGCTCCTGCAGGCTCCACTTATTGGATCTGGCAGCCAATCGTGGGCTTTACTGTCCCTATGACTCACACCTGCTGACCGCGTAAGATTGACTATCCCCAATCAGGCTAGGGCACCAGGCGGGGGTCCGATCAATGGTGATTGGCGGAGAGATCCGGGCAAGACCGCACACACAAACAGTTAAGAAGTGCCTGGCTTCCCGTCGCTGCCTGGCGCTTCTTTTCTCCCTCCTTTTTCTTTCTCTCCCACTTCATCTTTCTTCCCACTCCACACATCTCTCTATTCAAATTTATCACCACTCAGTCACCATACAGCATCATACTTATACCGCTTCTGATACTCCGTGCTTTCAAAATGGCCTGCTAAACGCCTCCCCCGCACCAGCTACGTCTTTCTCGTACGAGACAGACACCATAGATCCTCTTCGGACCTCGTCTTTTTCTAATCTCTCCTCTTCCACCCCCTCAGAGTCTCCTGTCCCAGGACCTCTGAACTTTAGCATCGCTTTGCGTAGCTCAAGTTCTCCGAACAACGCTTTCCCGTTCGACATCTCGTCGTTCACCACGGATACCCAACAGCAATCATGGCTTCCCACGCCCCCGCCTCAGCAGCCATCGGCTCCAGTGAATTCGATTCTCAGCGACAACAACAACAACCCCAGTCCCCTTCCGCAGGACTTCGTGCTCTTTCCCGCTCCGTGTCCCCCGCCGCAACCCAGGGACTCGCGTGCTCAAGCACCGATCAATTCTACCCCTAGATTATCCGCATATCAACCTTCTCTGGTCCAACCAGGGTATCCTGTTAGACGACACTCTTCAGCTTTGCATCAGCAGCTCCCAGGCTCGCCTGCGCAGGTTCCTCTTTCGGCCAGATTAGCCGCTCAATCTTCCGGATATCCCTCGTCTCCGTCTTCTTGGTCTCACCCCGCTCTGCGAAAGCATTTCGCGCGTCGGTTCGCAACACCTGCCGCTTCGAATTCTACTCCTGCAGTGAACAACACTGCCTACTCTAACCGCCCACCCGTCCCTCTATTCAACGACAAGACGGTCAACTATTCCGTCGTTCCGAATCAGCACAATCAAAACCTAAAGAGAAAATACGCTTCGTATCTACACCATCGCCGCATCATGTCTACCCCCAACATCGCTCAAGGTAAGCTCGTCACTTGGGCAGTGCACGCTTATGTATACGGTGCTAAGACAGTTCTAGATTTCCCTGAGCTTTTTGATCTTCAGTCCAACCGCTTTGGGGACGATCTCAGCTCCCCAGAGTCCAACATGCTTTCGCCCCAGATCAACACTTCGTTCTTCAGCCCGATGGGTGAGGTTGCCCCTCCGGGCACTGTCTCGCCGAAGGATCTGTTCTTCGATGCTTCGGCTCCCCCGTCGACGACGTTCACTGATCTCAGCACTCCCCCGCTGGATACGCCTGGCTTCTTCAGTCAGAACACATCTCCCATGATCAACACCGAGATGGATCTGAACGCCGTGCCTGAGGAGTGGGAGTCTCTGTTCCCTCAGGATGGGTTTTCTCTGGACCTGGACTCGGCTGCCCTTGAGCTTGCTGCTTCGCTTCAGCAGCCCAAGGCGACCGGACCCCCTCCGACTCCAGTGATCCGTGACAGCGCCTCGCCCGCGCCGTCTGCCTCTCCTGCCCCATCCCGTCAGGGCACCAAGCACTCCACAGTGGCCGGTGTCAATGCGCGCCAGCGGAAGCCGTTGCCTCCGATCAAGTTTGACTCTGCCGACCCCGCCGCCATGAAGAGGGCCCGCAATACCGAGGCTGCTCGCAAATCTCGTGCTCGCAAGCTTGAGCGTCAAGGCGAGATGGAGCGCCGTATTGAGGAGCTCGAGCGGATGCTTGAAGAGTCCAAGCAACGCGAGGAGTACTGGCGAAGCATGGCCAAGACTGGCACCAACTGATCTAAAAAGTTTGGGTTTTTCATTTCGGGTATGGCATGGGGTTTTGGTTTTGGTATCTGTATTGTGCTCATTGTGCTATTCTTATCCCTAGTGGGCTCTGTGGGCGGGGGCGTCGAGCCTCCTGTCACCACCTGTCGGAAGCATCATTCAGTCTCCTGAGTGATGCTTCCGACAGATGAAAAGTTTCCTTTTGTTCTTGCGCCATTTCCTATGGAGCTTACACAGTGTACTTTTCGGTAGATCTGCATCTCTGCATCTGCTGCTGTGATTTACTCATCCCCAGTTATGTACTGCGGGTCTGTTTTATGGTTCTTCTGCCTTTTCTGTTTCTATGGCCGGTTCTGATGTCTCCCACCTATCGGGATTGACTCGTGGCCACTAATCTCTTTGTTTATCTCGTGTACTTGACTGATTCGAGTGCCTTTCATGTTATTATCGTTGCGCTTATGTACCAGACTGTGAACTATGGTATTCTCCAATTCAAGTATCTTATATGCGCATTATATCTTCTTTGTAACCGTATTCTCTCCGCTGAAGCTCTTGGCCAATAAATCCGTAGAAGCTGCCACAAACAAACCTTTCAAGCTTGCTTTCTCATTCAAGTAGATGTACCAAGGCTATATAGGTTTAATTATCGTACAGGGCCACTGATCAACTTGTCAACGTCACTCGTAACTCATCTACAATTCTATCTGTCTCATGTATGTACATGTGCATATATGTGTGTGCAATCGACTCAGCTCAGACTTGCCTTTTTATCTACTTCATAGACAAACAACCTCTTGCTTGCCCGAACCATCCATACCCTCGCGCCCGACCAACAAACAGAACCGACATCCAGTATACCAACACACTCATGGAAATGCTTTCGTAGAAAGCGCCATCTAAGCGTGTGGGAAGTACCAGTCCTGGTTCCATCAGGAGATCCCGCTCCGTTCACGGTGCAGGGAGTCTCCTAGATGATGGGCAGGCGGTTGCATTCCCACGGTTGATAAAACAGGTGTGGCGATGAATGTGTTGTGGGGGTCACTGGAGCCGTGCCTGCTTGAAGGTCGAAACGAGAGTGTGCTGGATGGGGAGCATAGATCGAAGAGGCGGTCTCAGAAGTATCTGATCCAGAGTTGTCATCATTGCTGGTCTGTGTTGATGTGATTGGGGGGTGGAGGCATGTTTTGGTACGTCAAAGACGTATTGGGGGTATTTGAAGGGGAGGGTGTTGATGGAAGGAAAAGAAAAAGAAAGGAAATCTATTCAGGTAAGAGCATCAGTCCCTTTTACTTTGCTCTTCTCCATCTTGGCTGTCCTGGACCCAAACTGAATTGCTCGCTTCTTCTCGCGGGCGACGTTGGTCATGCCGAGTCTCAGTGCGACTAGACGGAGGGCCTTCTTCTCCGAATCGAGCCCTGCCTCTGGTGAATCCGCTGGTGGAGAAGGGGTGCCGAAGCCGCACTTCTCCCAGACTGGGAGCTGCACCACCCAGGACACAAACTCTTCGTCTAGGAACGGAAACCGCGCTTCGCGACCCCAGTGTGCAATGACGCGATTGTCACGGCCCAAGTTTCGCTTTCCAAGGCGGCTGACGTCAAGGTTGATCTCGTCGATGAGGCCCGCGAACCCATCCCGAGAAAATGCTGCTCCATGTCTCGAGTATCCTGCAAATAACTCATCTGCGCCAAGGCCAGACAGCAGCACTCGTGCCGAAGTGGCATATTGCATGGGCTGAGCATCGATCTGTCGACTGTCGAATGCCAGCCCTTGACCACGCGAAGCGAAATATAATGCGCAGGCTATGGATAGATCCATCTCCGTATTGTGGGGTCTCATCAGACGCTTGACAGTTTCACGGTGCGCAAGGGTTTCCTGGTACGGTACATCTACCGCCACAAACCGCCAGTTGCGATCTGGGCACACTCTTTGCAACTCTGCGAATGCCGCCCGGCCGGTAATACGGTCAGGGCAGCTTTCATACACAGAGCCAGTGGCCTCTCCCTTGCCCTTTGCGGCGGCCGCAACGCGCGGGTTTTCGAAGGCCACGTTGAGCAAATCAATGACTTCCTCCTTTGGTAGAATCTCATGAGAGAGCCTAGCGAGTAATGTGCAGTCGAGGCCACCGGAAAACAGTACGGCGACTTTCACATTGCTTTCTGATGAAGCAGTCGGAGGTTCTCGTACATTCTGAATTCGCATTGCCAAGGACTGACGTAGTTTATGCTCGAGTTCCTTGACAGCGGTAGTTTCAACGGTTAGTGAAGGAGCTTCTCCTTCGGGTATAGATTTATTCATGGGAGGGACGGGGTTTCTCTACATAAATGTTAGCTAGGTAAAATCAGAAAAGGAAGAAGTGCGTACAGGACGAAGAGGGAGATCGGATGTATTATGCTCCCAGAAAAGAGTCTGTATGCAACTTGCATCGAACGAAGGTGTACCAGCACTCTTCGTTGCGATCGAGTTATCCTGGAGTATAGCATGTTCTAAGTCAACCACATACACTCCGTCTGTCTCGACCTCACTAAAGTGGGTCGAAGATGTGCCATCGCAGAGACTGCACAGCTTGAAGGCCCCCGACTCATCAACACCTTGGAGTAGAGAGCGTCTTCCAAGAGAGTCTCTCGTGAAGAATAGTTTTGAGTTGATCGCATCATAGAACACAAAAGCAAAGGGGCCGGAAATGCTACTGATAACATCCAGGACACCTTGAACAGCACTCTTACTCGAGTCTGCTGACGAAGTGACCTTCGAGTGGTGGTTTACAGCCTGCAATAACAGCTTAAAGATCAGCTCCGCATCGTTGCCCCGGATCGGTTCACCTGATATCTTCCAGGCGTCTCCATTGTAGCATAACACGGACTGCGTAGTAGGATCCACTAATGGCTGGGGCACAAGACAGCCTCCTCTCATAGACAAGACTGTGGAAACAAAGGTAAGCTGAATAGCAATGGGCTCGTCATTGCTTGACCGTGGCTTGATCTTTTGTTCAACGCTATGAACATGGTAATTATCAGGTCCTCTGTTGCGCAACAAGCAGCAAGTCTCCTCATTAGGAAGCACAGCTCCTGATGCGCTAAGAGAGAAGAAAATCCCACACATGGTAGCAAGCAAACCGCAAGCGAGACGCTGGCGGGGATTTAGTTAAGGTGAAAGAGAAAGGAAGAGGAAAGAGAAACAAGAAGAGAGCCGGAGGTCGGGGGAACGATGATCCCCCGCCGCTGATTGCGGGCTGTCATCCTCGGCGCTGATGGAGCTTACTCCCCTATCTGGGGTCCCTTTTTGCTATATTTCCGCAATTTCTCCCCTGACACCTATTTTGACTGACTCTGGGGCCTCGAAGTCTGTTGCCAATATTAGCCGACCCGACATTCGTGGTCTATTACGTGGCAGCCCCGGGAACCACGTCTCCGCATATTCCCCTCATGATGATCCATGTTTCTACCTAACGAGGCTCTTTTGATTTCTAGTTTGACTTTGGCGTGCATGCAGGTGGCTTATGTCTGCGATAGAACCCTCGGAATCCCCGGCTCCTAGTGGTCATGGGGAGGCCCAGCCGGCCGTTCACAACGATCCTAGTTCGACTGAACAAGTGAGCTCGACTAGCCTCGAGCCTGCCGCGGAGCAACAGGATGACCCCTCAGAAGTGCCGATGACCAGCCAAAAAGCGCAACACGGCGACATGGAGGAGAGCGCTCAGGGCGAAGCGCAGGCCACCATTACGGAGTCCCCAAGCACGATGCCGATACCGTCCGCCACAGATCCCTCGAACCCTGTGTTGCCTCCCCGGGAATCGCTTCCGGAGCGGATGAAGGGGCTTTCTATCACCACGACGGCAAGACCGGAGCCTGCCACGTCGCCAAATGTTGAAATCCCTCCTACACCCCCAGCGAAAGATGAACTTTATGTGTCCTCAAACCCTCACTCCGCGATTACACACTCGCCCGCGATCGAATTGACTGATAAGGAGTTGCCGGAGGTGCCTGAAAATGACCGGGATGGGAGGAAGAATACTGCTGGTGGTGACAATGACTCCCAATCGGAGATCCAGAGCATTATGGACCAATTTCAAGACTCTACGCGCGGTGATGGACAGGAACAGATTATGTCTCCCCGCCTGGAATTAGCCGAGCAGTTCCTGGGTGGACAAAGCCACTTTCCCCCTCGTCAGTCAAGCCTAGATCATAGTAAGTCGGCGGCTGACGACTCGCGCATGCCCAAGTCTGCGACAGGGGTATCTTCCGTCTCGGCTGAGAAACAACCCGCGAAGGCTCCCAAGAGTTCTGCCGCCGACGAGGCCAAGTTAAGTCGGCGTTCGTCGACATCGACAATCCCTCCGCCACCCGAGCCTGAGCCAGATCAACCTTTTGATTTCCATCGCTTCTTAGAGCAACTGCGTCACCGTACTGCGGACCCGGTTGCCAAGTTCCTACGCTCATTTCTCCATGAGTTCGGGAAGCGACAATGGATGGTTCATGAACAAGTCAAGATTATCAGCGATTTCTTGGTGTTCATCACCAACAAAATGGCTCAGTGTGAAGTATGGCGCGATGTGTCCGACAGCGAATTTGACAACGCCAAGGAGGGGATGGAGAAGCTCGTAATGAATAGACTATATTCCCAAACCTTTTCCCCAGCTATTCCGGGTCCGCCCACAATTCCGCGAAGTGCGAGTAGAAGCAAAAGGCGTGAGATGGAGAGGATGCATGGTCCATGGAGACGAGGGCAGCATCAGGAAGATATCGAGCGAGACGAAGTTCTCGCTCAGAAGATGCGGATTTACAGCTGGGTTAAAGAAGAGCATCTGGACATACCGCCAGTGAGCTCTCACGGTCGTCGTTTTCTGAATTTAGCTCAGCAGGGTATGTGATGGGCCCTCTTTTCTTCGATCGACATTTATCTAACCGGTTACAGAATTGTTGAAAATCAACGGCTATCGGGCTCCTCGCGATAAAGTTATCTGCATACTGAACTGCTGCAAAGTCATCTTCGGTAGGTTCTAGACTCAATGCAAGGGCGGAGATGACATATGCTAATGTTCCAAGGTTTACTGAGGAACTCTAAAAGATCTGACACGTCTGCCGATTCTTTCGTGCCGCTATTGATCTACGTGGTGCTGCAGGCCAATCCCGAACATCTAGTATCGAACATACAATATATCCTGCGGTTCCGCAACCAGGATAAACTCGGAGGGGAAGCTGGGTACTACTTATCATCACTGGTACGCTAACTACTGTTATTGTTCACGACCATATTCTAACATCTATCTAGTCGGGAGCGATCCAATTCATCGAAACACTAGACCGAACGAGCCTAACAGTGAGCGATGAAGAATTCGAGCGAAGCGTTGAAGCCGCCGTATCGGCTATTGCCCAGCAAAACCGCGAGTCGGAGACCTTGGAGCGCCAAAGCTCAGGCCGCTCCGGCGAAGGCTCTCAATCCGCGCCACGAAGCTCTGCTGACACGCAACGCACGGCCGTGCGCAAGGAGACATCGCAGTCTAGCGATGAAGATTCGGCCCCGGTAGCAGGGCTTCTGCGGACCATTCAGAAACCATTGTCGACCATTGGAAGGATTTTCTCTGATGAGCCAGACTCCCCTCAAGATCGGCCTGCGCAGTCTGCGGCGTCGCCACGACTGACTCCGAACGTGTATCAGCCACCCCGTAATAGCAGTGAAGGCCGGCGATCGGCGGAGAGGCCACGCAGTGCAGCCTCTCCACAGGTTCCCAGGTCGGATGCTCAAGATGCTGCTGCGCGTCAGGCCAGTGCGGAGGATGCAGAGGCACGGAGAATCCATCGTGCAGAGCACAACAACGTCGTAGAGACGCTGTGTAATATGTTCCCTAACCTTGACCGCGATGTTATTGATGATGTGGTCAAGATCAAGGGGGGAAGGTAAGCTGTCCCTTGCTTCTACATAAGGAGAGATGTATGGAGTAGCTGACACTGGCAATGCAGGGTTGGTTTGGCAGTAGACGCGTGCCTTGCTCTTAGTGCTGAGTGAACGGAGTATGGTGGAAGTCGGTCAAGGACAGGCAATTACATTGAGAGGATTGACTTTCGGGGTTATACTCCTTATTCATTTGTACTGTGACCGATCATGTACTTATTGCCTGGGCTATTGCATATATTAATACTGCTAAATGGTAGCCATACCACACAGAAATAACTAGACTACCGAACAGGATTTCTACAGAGATCAGCCGCTCACTCAGCGGCCCGGGGCATATTAGTGTGTCCTGAGCCACTCGGCATGACTGGATAAGTATACCACACCACCAGGAGAGTGAAAACTAGCAATCATCAAGGCACTCCCTTCTCAAGAAACAACTCATCGAACGCACAAGCCTCCAACACATCCTTGTATTCCTCCACCAGATCCCAAAACTTCGCATCAGAAGGGGTTAATAACTTGAAACTATGAAGGCCTGTCCTGCACCAAAGGAGATTATACTCGTTGTAACATCCGTCGTAAGAGAAATCCCCGTAAGCCAAGACCTGCAGATGCAAGTACCCTTCGCGCCCAAAAGCCCATTCGGCGTAGGAAGGCAGAACATCGTAGGCTACAGAACTTTCTGGTTTATGTTCGTGTAACCAGTGCCCAGTTGCTCTGATATGAAGTACTTTGATAGTGGTGCTGAGACTGTGGTCGCCCTGTTCCAGAGGATTATAGGTCAGCATTTGACGGCAATCCATGTCAATATTATAGAAACTGAAAGGGGGAAGGGGGCAGATAGGGTGGCGAATACCGCAATTGTACACACATCCTCGATACATGTCGAGACTCCGAGAAACTCCAACCCTGGATCGTGGGATATGCTGGGTCGGAATTCAAGCGACCCAAACAGATCTCCGTCTCCGTAGTGGCCGTATTCTGCATTCACGAGCGAGTGCGTGACGAGGCGCTTCAGTGTGGGCTTGTGATGCAACATGCTTTGACATATATCATCCCAGGAGACTGCTGGGAGCATAAGATAGAGATCTGCCAAGCCGGAAAAGGCCTCGAGGAAGGCTTTCACGGTGTCGTTGACATTATCCTGTGACTCGTCGGTTATTTGGTTCAGCTTTTCCGGGTTGAATGTCAACTCGAGCAGTTTCAGCCTTAGAGGCACGCGTGAGCGAACGATTTGCCGAAGAAAACTAAATGTCCCGGGGCAGTTGATGAGTTGCATTGCTTGGAGTCGCTCTACGTTAAGAGCACTGACCAACTGGACCTCCATGCGGCTGAAAGATACTTGGGAGAGAGTCAAGCGTTCAAGGGCTGTGAGAAGGGGCCATGGTCTTTCTTCAAGTGGAAGACCAAGCACGCATTGCACAAAGAAGTTCTGTGGCATCCATCTTTCTGGAAGGGGCAATTTTCGAAAACCTTCTTCCCAGGCCAGTCTAGCGCTGTCCCAGCCGACAAGATCGAGGTGCAGTGCCTTCAATTGAGCTCCACGTGCAGCGATAAACTGTCTAACCGAATCGAAATCAACAAAGCGCTTGAGACCTCTCCAGGATAGGGATTGGAGCTTAGAAAGCTGAGCAAGATTTATGGCGCATGACGCTTGTTGGATTTCGGCTACAAAACAGTCGTTATTAGTGAGGAGAGAGATTGTAGTGATGTTCTTTTGGGTCTCTAAGAGCCTGTGGATGAGGGGAAACACTTCGTCGGAAAGACACGCTTTTAAATCCCACCTATAGCATGTTAGTGTTGACTCGGCGTAGTGCATCAAAAATCAGTATCTGTACTGGAAGCTCTGAAGTTGGCCCTGAGGGATTCCCGATGCCATGCCCTGCATGTTGTCTGCCAAGATCGGAATGCAGTCAGTGGTGGGCTGATCACTACGCAGTATCGGTTCTGGCATGGATCCATCAGAACTATCCGGAGTTTTGAACCTGCTACCCAGGAAATCATGCAAAGAACAGAATTGATAACTTTCTATCTCATGACATGCACTCCACAGCCTGAAGTGCTTTGTATGCACTAAATGCGAGTGATTTAATCTCGTGATTGCGTCGTTTAAGAACTGAGCTGATGGGTGCGTTGCTCTTATAATGAGTGATTTATATAGACGTGGAATCAACTTTGCATAGATGTTTTTGGAAACTTCACAGAGGTTTTTAAGATTCCTGCGAGTCACCTGGGATGGCGAGTTAGTCTGTTTCAAAGGCTTCTGGAGAGGGACAGAGGACTGCTTACATGATCGAGCACCATGTACAGTAGTTCGAGGGGTAGCCTGTCTAGCATCGTGATATCGATAGTCACTCGAAATAGTAGTTGTAGATGAATACTGTTTCATGTTAGAGGCGAATCTTGAGGCGGGGCTCCGCTGGCATGATATACCGGGGGTTCCAGTCACACAAATAGTATGTAGCGAATGCACGTGTCCTAGTGGCTACTAGTACAAATATGAAAACCTTTTCATGTTACCTGAACCTATGAATAGCTTTTGTCGACTTCGTATGATCTAGTCTAAGGACTATGTTGTTGTCGCGATAAGGTATTGGGGCGGAGGTGGGGGGCAGTTGCCGTAGATCGTACAGGCAAAAGTCTAAACAATGTCTTTGGGAAGGAGGCATTCCATGTGAACTTGATAAAAAATCCACGTGAACTTGATAAAAAAAACAGGAAACTGACCGAAGTTGGCGGTAACTTCCGTGCATATATAGGCTGGTTCATCATGAGCTGAATAAGTCCCAGCTTGGAAAGGGAAGGCGAGTGTTGTTCTATTCGGATAGGGCAAAGCCTCATGAAGCGGTAGCAGTCAAAATCCATCCTAGTGCGCTTTGAGTAGTAAGACCTCCGGATAATAACTGCTAGACTATCCGGTAAACGACTGGAATTTGAAGCTGACAGCCCAGAAAGTACATCCTCAATAAGATTACGCGTGAATGTGGGGTCAGATCCTCACACGATGGTGTCATTCCCCCACTATATTATGCTGAAAATTGTACCGGTGGTAATGTAGTCGATAATCATGTTACTTGGTAGAGGATGGTAGAGGGTCATCCCAGATTATTGACAGCAAAGCTGTACAGCCAAGGGATCAGCATCACCCGGAACGGCCCGAGCAATCGTGTCCATCCCAGAGATGTATCATCATCATTTTCATCATTTTGGTACTGACAGCACCGGCGCACTGACGGAGATATCTAATGTGAGCGGGGTAGGCAAGACCGTAGACTAAGTCGTATTGTATCATTGGCCACAGATATAGTATCATGGATAGTACCTACCGAGATAGCAAGACAACAAGCTTGCAACCGGCTAAATAAGCAAATGAGATGATGTACGGAGCAGGATTCGGACTCCGTATATGACCGGACTCAGCCACTATGTTAGATTTTGAAATAGCCCCACAATGGGGACGTATACATGGTAATGAGGCAACCGAGCAACCAGAGATAGTCAGAGCAAATAATGGTAGCTCCGTAAGCGATTGAATCGAAGATATAATGTTAAATTTCATTGAATGACAATAATATAACACTAGTACTAGCCTTCAGCATACAATAAGTTGCTACTGTCTCGGTATTTATTTTATTCCAACACCCTTGAACATTCGGTCTAAAGATAGCGCATGATTTGGAAACTGGTCGAGACATGTTTAGCGCCTTCGGGGCATGTATAGTGGCATATTCGCTATCAAATAATCCCTGCAATGCCTCTGTGTACCTTATCGGGCCAATGAGTATCGATGTCCCTGAGTTCCTTTCATATTATCTTCGATGATATCGGAATAGACGCCACATATTTATTCGTACTTTACCGCTCTTTGCTGAGGGGGGTTAGGGGAAATAAGATAAAGTTGGAAGTGCAATCGAAACGTAAAATAGCACTTGACATTTGGATGTGCTTGTCCCCAAGGTGGTCTACACTAACTTCTCCTTCAATGTCTAGCCTCCCATTGATCCTAACAGATTGATTCCTGAAAAACTCCGCTTTGCTGTCTAGTATGTGGCCTTTCTCACTAATAATATGCTGGATGATAAAAGATCAAACGAATGTGATAACAAGATGACATAGTAACTACTACGAAAGCCAGTAAATATTCCAATGCATGATCATGATACTTCTTCGCAAAGCAAACCGGAGCGTGGTGAATATATAGCTTTGACCGAAGACGAATCTACCGAAGGCCTTGAATCTCCGGAGCCTAAACGCCGGAGGATAATTTCCCTCATATTTTTCACCAAGCCTCTCGTGTATGCACCTTTAGCAATTGTCTTTGCAGGAGCAATAGCATTTTTCTGGATGACCCATACCAGAAATCACTATACATACACCGATTGTGGAGTGACTCCCGACGAAGCGCGAGCACGAGGTTGCTTGTTCGAGCCGATGCAACGCGCATGGATTCCTCCAGAATGCTACTTTCCGGAGGCAACGGAAGACTACGACACTTTTCGGGACAGACAGTGGTACCTAGACACCATGATGACGATTGACGCTGATGTGGAGAAGTTGGAGGCTGGGGAAGTGCCCGTAGCCTATACGCGCTACTGGCATGACGAGCATTGTACCTATCTTTTCCGAAAGCTCGCCCTTGCGGTCGATATGGGGAAGGACATGATCAATTCGAAGGCCCTGGATATTGAGCATTCGAATCATTGCGCACTGGCCATAGCCAAGAGACTAGCTAGCTCGTACAATGTCTCGTTTGTGGAAGCTGACCGATCCTTGACGGAGAGCCATTTGGGGTTCGAACGATGCGTACCACTCAAAGTAAGTTCTTCCTATGCGGTCATGAACCCTTTGAGAATGTTACTTCCCCGTTGACCTTTTCAGACTGTCGTTGGTCCGGATAAGGCTGTTCCGGTTTACCCAAAAGGCTCAGAAAGGAACTAAGTTATGCCACTATTATCGTCAATTTGGGTTGGCAAAACAGCGAGGGTTTATCTTGGCAACAGATTTCAATGCTGGGTATTGGCTACTTCTACGGATTCGAATGCTATCCAATGTTATTAGTTTGCAGTGGCAATTCCATTCCACTCCATTCATTCGCACTATTCCCGTATCTTGGCTCTTGAGTTTGCATTGTTCCTGATATCTATACCTGATATACTTGTCCTGGTGTACCTATTGGGATTCGTCGAAGACGAAAAAGGCTGTCGTTTATGCAGAGTATACAGAGGAGATAACCCAAACATATTTCTAGCCATGTCAGTCCTCCAGTGTGGTCCTCAAAGCGAAGTGTATTGGCATGCAAGGAGGCCTCCAATAGTATCCACGTGACATACCGAAACGAGTCGTTCCGCCCAACCTCGCTTACCGCTAGCGCCATCCGTAGTTCCCCACCCAATCCTATATAAGCAACGTTCCCCCGTCTCCCTTTTAGACTTTTTTCTTCTTTCTTTTCTTCATACTTACCTTGTTTGGGTGACTGCGATCAAGAAGGCGGTTCACCACGGATTGGTCCCTGCATTGCACAGCGCGGCGGAACAATCCGTTCAACGGCCTACGGGTCATTGACAGGCGTATTCTTTGGCACTTCTCCTTTTGGAGCTTTTATTTCCTTTTCATCAGTTCTTGGGCCAGTGGCCCGAGGGTGGAGAAGAGGACGTAGTAGTAGACACCAGTTTAAGTGGTGGCATAGTACCAGCGAATAGGATGCTTAGCATTGCGCGACGGCAGTAACTACCGACTGGAAGGCAATAATATCCGCGTTGAAGGTCGTACTCTGCTTGGGTTGCTAAGCCACGGTCGGTAGCCTATGACGTTGCGGATGCTGGGTCGCCACCCCGACGTATATAAATAAACAATATTGCAGCCCATTACTACCTACAATATCTACTACCTGTTTATCATACTCCTAAATAAACCCTTCTCTTTCCTCCCATCTGTCCTTCTGACAGAAAGTGATACCAAAACAATATCCAATCCCTCTGAAAATGCCACACAAAGATACCAACTCGTTGCCCAACGGCACCAACAGCACAGACGGTACCTCGGATTCTTCAGCCAACCGCCTCGCAGCAACGGGAAATACCCTCGGCGCGTCCGCCTTTGGCACAGGCATGGACCAGAACAGTGGCACGATACCCGAATACTTGTCCACGGGATCGGAGGATCTCAGGCCTCTGAGCAAGGAGGAAGCGGAGAGATTGTACGAGGAGAGAATGGAGGAGGAATATGCGAAGCGGGAGGGTGGTGCTTAATTGGTTGCTTGATTAATATTGATCTCTACGGAGTACTGTGTATATATATATCAGATTGACCTGCATATTCACCATGAAATTGGAGTAAATACATCAACTTCACATTAATCAAGTAAAAGCTGTTGTAAGTACTATGAGTGTTACTCGCACCATAGTATATATATATATTGAGGCCAGGCGAAGCAACTTATATGTATGTTGAAAGAGAAAAAAAAAAACCACAGCGACCGACGCAACTCGAACCCGTCACCTCCCCAACACCATATACTACACGAAGACACTCCTACCTCCATATGAAGTCTGTAAAAGTTGCAAAAAAAACTGGTAGCTTCTCTTTGATTGAGCGTGTCATCCTTAGTGCAGGGGCCATGCTAATCTTCTCTGTATCGTTTCAAATTGACCAAATGCCCGAAGGCAATAGTTACCTCTTTACAATGGATTATATAGGAAGAGTGGGTGTTATTCTACGGACCTGATTGGCCACTAAGCGAGCCGCCGGGAACACCAAAACTGCCAGCCAGCCTTCACCCCGCGCTGTTTGCCTGAGGACGCACAGTGTAGTATGAAGTAGTACGGAGGGTCGGTCGGTCGTCATGGTTGCGATACGCACGGTCTACATCGGTCACCGTCGAGCACGAGCAGGTTCAGTCGATAATGCAAGGACGGAAGATAGCAATGTCTGCTGTGTATGCTCGTCGGCTAATCGTCAGAATGGCACGGATTGTCATCTGGCATATGCGCCTTAACCTGGCATGTCAGCAATAGTACTAACTCAATGGGAAGCGCAGCTCTGCCACAAGGAGTAAAAATGCAAATCTGCATTAAGAGGAATAAGAAGAAAGAAGCAAAAACAAGCATAAGCCACCATTTGAGATATTATTAGGACTCGAAGTTATGCTCTAATGCTCAAGAATAAGGTGGAATAGAAGAAGAAAAGAAATAAGGCGAATAGATACTCCTAGTGGCAGTCGAGGGTGGCCCCTCCTATTCCTCTTACGGCGAGATCGGCTATCGGCCAGCCCCAACAACACACCATCTGGCGGAATACCTTCAGTGTAACCGATTTGCAACTAGAAGCCCACTACGTATGGTTAAGCATATTTTGCACGACGGAGTTTCTATAATGCTGAAGTCTACGTCATTAATGTTACGAGCTGGACAGCCTTGTGTTTGGGATCAACTCAACCACATCCCCCAACGGCGCAGCTGAGCCGGATCTACGGAGTAGATGCCTACGATTTACCACGCATGGCATCTGCCTTCCTTCTCTCTTCTCTCTTCTATATCATTATACTTAAGATACAAGTCTACTGTGAAGCAGGTTTGAGTACGAAGAGGTGCTATTTCCTCTCCAAATTCGATATGCACTGCTACAAATCCAGGTCCCGGTGTCTGGACACAACGCAGATCGCTGCTTTTGGCTCGGAGTTATCTTATAACGTGCAATTGCAGGCAGTGAGGCTGCCTAAGTAGTCCATAGAAGGCAATGATAGATAGTAGCCTGAATATATAACTCACTTCTTCCACAGTCCTCTTCCGATTCTTCAAACATCATACCCTCCCCCCTCGCATCAATCAACCTACCAATCACACCCGAAACAATTACTATATCATACTATCATACAACCAACCAAAATGCGCTCCACAACTCTCTCCATCCTACTTCTATCAACCCTAGCACTAGCAACCCCAGGTTCCGACCCGGCCATCGAAAAGCGAGACGACAACACCGACTCAGACTTATCCAACCCTCTAAGTAACCTGTATACCTACCTACCTACCTACACATTCCTTACTCTCAACCCCATCTATATCTAGCTAACAAACCCTCAAATCCCACAGAGTCAACCCAACAACCACCACCACCACAATGCCCACGCTCTTCCCCGAAGTACCCACCTCCATCAGATCCGACCTCATCACTGAAGTTCCGACCTCTGTCATCTCCGAAATGACGAACCCGACAGCTTGGTCATCAGTCGCGAGTGAGTGGAAGAACGGAATCATTCCGTCCTGGTACAGCAGTCTGAATGGGGATGTAAAATCGTACTTTTCGACGGCGTTTGAAACGGCTTCGCCTTCCACCTCGTCTTCGCATGGTGGTGCTGGGCCTGTGGCTCCGAAGGCGACGGGTATGGCGGGGATTATGGGTGCTGCGGGGATTTTGGGGATGGCGATTGTTCTGTAGGTTAGTTGAAGTGGGAATGTGTATATATATTGTCAAGACGAAGGGTCAAAGATAGTATGGGTCTGATCTATCCAGGGCTCAAGAAGATGGTGGTCAGAGACCACGCAGGAAGAAGAGGAGGTAAATTGATCAGCTGACTCTGGCTGGAGTGAATGTCTCAATAGCATCTCGTTTAGCCTGCATGTAGAAACCAAAAAATATAAGGCGGTCTGAATGGGTTCCAAAAATGAGTGTGGAACCTTTAATGAGGAACTCCTCGAAACCTTCCACTTGCCGATATTCATCAGGAAGACATAGAATCTTGTCCTTGCCGAGGTAGTCGATGTTCAATGGCAGATAGAGAGACCAGATGGCCCTCAGTGTCAGTCTCTATGTGATATAGCTTCTGCACCGTGCTCACATATTTGCCATTTTCGAAAAAGTGAATGTAGCGCCCAGTGACACCATCGATGGAACAATGCAGCTCATACGATGGTACATCCCACAATTCCAAGGTGAGCTTACCACAGCTCTTGGAAAACACAGCAAGGGTCAGATCGTTCGGCGAAAAAGCCATCCTCATACTTAAATAATATGATTTTTTCAGGTAGATGTGCTTCCCAGTTGAAAGTTCACGAATGCCGATTTTCGCGTGGTCAGTGACAGCTAACAGGTGACCAAAGTGGGAGACTTCAGATGATTTCAGCTCAATCGAGCCGTCGGAAGTCTCGAATTTCTTTCCCGAGATTGGGTCCCATACTTGGAACTGCAGGGTGTCTAGGGCCCATGTAATGACCTTGCCATCCGGCCGGAAAGCAGCCTTTATACTGGCGTAATACTCAATATCTGAATCGTCAATATTCAAGTCCAACGCCCGAATAAATTTCCCACTGCCTGTGTCACAAACCATGATTGTTTCTTCCGCAAATGCTGCAACAAGGCGGCCGTCGCCAGAGAATCCAGGGCCAGTAATGGGATTTTTGAGAGCCTCGAGCTGGTTCTGTGGAATGCCTGTGGGAAATCTCAGAGGGTTGCGCCATCAAACGTGATCAAGAGAACCGTGTTGGATTTACGGGGCAAGGGATGAATAGAAATAATTGAGGAAGTATGGGAAACAGTTTGAGTCTCCATTGCCGACCCGTAGATCCCACAGGCATACAATGCCATTGTCTAAATCAGAGATTAGCTCGCCATTGGGAGAGAACGCAAAAGTATGAACACGATTAAGGTGATGCCCTAACTTCCCTGAAGCGCTGTTCCAGAGTTTAGTTGTGCCATCCCAGCCGCAAGAGGCGACAAATTCACCATTGCATGAGAAATCTACTGAAAAAGGGTAAAAAATCTCGAGACCGTGAACTAGCGAACCACCTTTTACATTCCACACGCTGACCTCGTCAAGGTAAGAGCACGATGCTAGCAGGTCATTGAAAGGAGAAATGGCTAGAGATTTGATAGGGCCCTCACACATTTTGATTTGGGATTGCACTGCCCTACTCATAGCCGTGTTCCACAACCTCAATATACCTGTATCAGTCCCAGTTGCAATTATCTGGCCACCATGTGAGATTGCTGATGCCATAAGACCACCAATATGACCTTCCAGCGTCTGATGAAACGTACGGTGGGCGATATTCCACAGCCCTAACGTGTGGGGGTTGGTGGACATGTCCTGTACGAGCACTGCCGTGGTGTGCTCAAGGGTTACTGGTAGGACGATGCTATGATATAGTGGTTGGCTTGCGTATGGTTTGGCCATATTGGATTAAAGTTGGGTATACTGGCAAGAGTATTGATTGGCAGGCATAGAAGGGCTTGTTATTGACATGGGAGTAGTTTACACTGAGACATTAAGTCTTGGTTTCATATACTACTGTGTAGAATGCCAGTGAACTGCAAAATGCTCATTATTAGTCCATACTTTCTCTAAAACATACTTTATTTCATCAGCTGGTCAGAGCTGACCCAGATACAAGGAGGCTTAGCCATTCCATAAGTGCTTAGCACACTGGTAATGACTGAATCATTAGTCTGACGCTTCACTACTCGGGTGCTAGTACTTGAGAACATATGTTTTTGTCATCAACTGAAGGATAGTGACGATGATTGCTTGTTAACACTTTTCTATATGCGGATAGATGTCTTCTTTCTTGTTTCCAGAATCCCATATCAGGGGCTGCGGTGCGAGCTAAGTAAGCTTACTCCACTGGTAATGAAGCATCGCAAACTTAATGACCTAAACCCGAGATAATAGTGGGCGCTCTTGCTGATCGCGGCCTTCGGCTCAGACCTGCCCTCGGTCGAAGGCGGGTCAGAACGTTTAGTGATCTTCGTTAGGTGGATTCAATGATATTCAGGGCGAAATTCCAAATATTGAGAGTGTCTCAACGCTCATCTGTATAGTTTTTCTGAGGAATAAGCCCAAGTTAGCAGTCAGACGAGAGATGCCTGGCGGATCCTCGGTCTCTCTCCAAGATTTCCCTCAATTCCAGCCATGGAACGTATAGCCCGAACCGGCAAGCTCCATTACAGTGATTGTCGGAAGACTGGCTCCATCGAAGCCAAGCTCCATGGACACGGCACAGCTATGAAGGCGAAACCCCTAAAACAGATCGCCCTTCAACTTACGTCAATTTGCTCAGCAGTGCAGCAACAACAGACAAGTGCACAATGCTACACAGCGTGCCGCGTCTCACCCTGAAAATTTCAGACTGGTGTTGAGCATTGGCCTCCTGGTCAGATATTAGCTGCATCGCCACACCTACTTTGCTGGTGAATTCGGTGTATTCCCCCTCTCGGACTGCTCTCAATCCGCATCGGAGACCGACAAGTCTGCATCCGAGTGCGTAATCGAGCAGCCACCTTGCTGCATCTGGCCAGTCAGTGTCCTGGTAAATGTCAGCGGTGCTTTGTGAAAGCCAATCAATACCGGTGTATTGGCTTAACCCCGAGGGGCTGCTGGAGCTTTGCGCCGAGATCTACACCCGCTGACAATTACGCCGCTTGTGATTGGCCCGCGCCAAGGCAGCCTGGAAGGGTCTGGAGAACAATCAGAAAAAGTCGATTCTGGCTGCCACAGGGGGACTTTTCTTATAAATATCAGTGCTTCCAGAAGATTTTTCTTCTAGCTGAAACCGTCATCCAGATCAACTTCTTGGAATCGATAAAGCTTCTTTCTATCACGCCTGGACTTTGTTTGTCTCGTCCAGCTTCGCCGCCTCTCGAGAATCCCTCAGCCTTACCGGAATTGTTAAGAGGGTCTAGATTCGGCCACCGACTCCGGCTTCTGACGTCAGGCCTGAGGCAGCCCGCAGCAGCCCAGTCAATCTACAATGGCGCTATTATTTCTGAAGCAGAAGCTCTTCCCGAGCGAAAAGCAAAAACAGGCCCTTCCATATGGTATGCTCGCCTACCAATGGATAATGCAATACGAGCTGGACTGACCAAACCAGGCAAACCACTGCTTTCCAATGAAGATTCCGATGCTCTGCCGACCGAGCAAGACCTCGAAGCTCAACGGTCTTACTCTACCTTCCGCGCCTCATCTCCCGTTTCCGACACCGACAGCACCGCCGCCAGCACGAGCAGTTCGCGATCTCGAATCAACCCACGCATCGTATCCGATGCCATTCTAGGTTTATCAGATGGCTTGACGGTACCGTTTGCACTGAGTGCTGGTCTCTCGGCGCTGGGAAACACTAAAGTCGTTGTGCTTGGTGGTTTGGCCGAATTGACCGCGGGTGCCATTTCTATGGGCCTGGGAGGATATGTCGGTGCGAAGAGCGAAGCGTGAGTTCCCCACTCGACTCTGTATCTCTCAATCAATCCTAACAGCAAACAGTGAATCTTACGAAACCACCGTTCGTGAAGCAAAAGAACTCATCGACACATCACCAGCCGAAACAAGCTCCATCGTCCAGTCCATCTTCGCTTCCTACCGTCTCCCCGAAGATGTCATCAACCAGATTAACATGTCCCTCCACTCCTCTGAAGACCGCCTTCTCGACTTCCTGGTCAGCTTTCACCACAAGGAATCCGAGCCTGACTGCAACCAGGCCTGGATCTCCGCCATCACACTCGCGCTGGGCTACTTCGTCGGTGGTTTCATCCCGCTCATCCCATACTTCATCGTCGACCAAGTGATCGTGGCCTTGTACATGAGCATCGGAGTTATGGCAATCACGCTGCTGGCCTTCGGATACATCAAGACATGTGTGGTGCGCGGCTGGTCCGGGCGCGACAACGTTGTCGCAGGCATCAAGGGAGGAATACAAATGTGTTTCGTGGGCGGAGTAGCAGCCGGAGCAGCGATTGCCTTGGTCCGGTTGATCGACACCGGCGGAGCGTAATCTCCCAACTCCAAAAGTTAACCATCCCATTATCTCATGCCATAACGACTGTACATTAATAGATACCACGACCACCATTCCATAGAGCGGCTCTTTGACCACAAAACAAATTCCAACTAATATATATATCCAAAAATACGTATTCACAAAGTAACAGTCCTATATTAAACAAATAGATATGGACTGGAATCTAACCCATCAAAGCCTCCTTGACCAATTCATTGGCCTCTTCCCCCATCTGCAACTCCAATGCCAAACCCCTCCCCCGTTCCGACATCTTTCCCCAGGTCTTTCTCAAGATCTCCACCACCTTCTTCCTCTCATAGTTTTCTTTGAACTTTTCAAATTGATCATCCAAAAACACCAAACACGCCACATCCTCCAGAATCTGTGCCTCCGCATCCTCCCCTCCCTTCAATCCTTCCTTGCGAATCAACCGGCCCACGCGCTCCGCTTCCGCCTCCCCAATGCCACTCTCCAGACACACCTGCACCGCTATCTCAGCCTGGCGACGCGCCACCGCCGTCCGCCAGGAATAATACCCTACTTTACCATCGGGGTAAGTACTGCGGGGTACTTCCCAGCGCTTGAGGTGCTGGGCGCGGATAGCGAGCTGAAGGGTCGGGGAGGGATCCGGGGTGTGTTTGTATAGGTAGCTGGTCATTTTCTCGGCGTAGTGTAGTTCGTAAGGGATGTCGGTGTTGGAGACTTTCGTGGGGTCTTCGGAGTGAAGGGCGTCGATTCGAGTGAGGGCGGTTGTGAGGGGGTCCATCTTGAGCTTCTTATTATGGTAGGCAGTTGGATCGGGAGGGTAAGTCGTGATTGTGTGGTTATAAACTTGGTTATATATATGGTATATATATAGGAGATATAAAAAGGTTGGATTCGTACAGGGAGTAATCTGTAGAGAAACGCTGTAAGTTAGGTTATGATATATCGATTTATGCGATTCCGACCTCGGGGTTGCCTTCGCGGTTCGGTGCACTTGCATCAAATACCGGCTGCGGGATTGGCTGGCGGGTCGGCATTTGGGTGGGTTCGATTCCTTTCTGGGTTATGTGAGGGTGGGTGGGGGGATGCTGATAAGCGATAAGGAAGTACACCCCACATGTTGGGTTGGGTTTTGGTGAGTTTAATATGCAGTCATTAAGGTATAGTATATGTGGTAGATGCAGGGCTGGAGGAGAGTCCGCGGAGATGTAGCTGTTTTTAGGGCATAGAATAGTTATGTTGTTTCTTTGTGTAATCGTATTCCGATGCTCTGGGTTCTAAGCTTTTACCTACCCTTTTGAATGCATGCATATGTTTGGTAGACATAGTGCTAGCTGATTAATGAAAGTGATGTTGATGCGCAGAGAGGATATAAGAGCTTGTCTTATTTTCATGATCCGAAGAGCCGGGAGTTCACACATAATTTGGTAGGATGAAACTCTATATGCATCTTTGTTGCTCTGTGGTAGATACTCATGTGCTCTTATGATTATTCTCGAAGCTAGTGTATACGAAGGGAGTCTCACTGAAATCATACCTAAGCGAAAAGCCTAAAATATACTCTCTGGACAGTAAGTTGTTAGCAGCATACCTCTCGGTCTGTCTGGTATCGGAGTCAAGACCTAAGTTGCCTGGCGGTTAAGGCACTCCTGCCACTGTATGGAACAGTGCCGCTATATCATAAAACATAGAGTATCTATGCTTAACAGTGTCAATAATTTGACTGAACACTAAAATCTAATGCTATAACAAAAAGACAGCTCACACTAGTATTCGTGTATAATGTATAGGCGAAGCATGAGATGACTGATTGCAGGTATCATCGTCGTGTTAAGCAAGCCCCAGTAGCTACCACAGCAAACATTCCTACTACTCCTACCTCCCGGCCGTCTGCCATGTTATGCCTAGATTTCATGGCTACAAAGCAGTCCTAAAAGGCCATCTTCTCATCGACAATGTACACCGCTGAGACAGAGAGCCAATTATTCTTGCAAGTCAAGATGCCACTATCCATTAGTACAGAAAAGCGGGATATGATCAGCCGGCCAACCTTCTACAGTCATCTTCTATCTACACTTCGTACTGCGTAATTCACCTTTCACCTTCATACCAACAGTGTCACGGACTCTCTTAATAGCTGCGGGGTTATACACAAGGTGGGTACTTAATCTAATTTAGAGATGTGGCAAAGTCCAATAATAGTCTGGTTCATCACATCAACCCCGCTTCCACTGCGGATCTTGATATCACGGATGAAGCGAGGATATGCTACAAGATTCAGCTTCCGGAGCTTCCGATTGCAATTCGGAAATACGGATTGATTGATCTTCATCTTTCAAACAATCGGTACAAACGAGCGGTAGTTTTGACAGGCGTATCAACCTCGGCATCGAACAACACAGGGTCTATAAACACCCCAAATCAATATGATGCAACTGCTACTGCGTGCGGGGGGTGTATCCCATCACGGATATAACCTCACTCTATGATTGCAACAGACCAGAGCATTGCATATACAGTACGAGTTCTATATAAAATCTCACACATCCCATTCTATCCCAACAACAAAACCACCCCAATATAACAACTAACACCCTCAATACCCCCCCAATTACATCCAACAATGATCCAAACCCACCACCACACCTCCACCCCCAAAGGCCTCTCCTCCATAACCACCCTCCTCACCACCCCTAACGCATCCCTCCTCATCGACCCTCCCTTCCTCCTCACAGACGCCGAATCCACCATCCACTGGATAAAATCCCTAACACCCCACGCCCCCTCCGCCATCTTCCTCACCCACCACCACCCAGACCACTTCTTCTCCGCGAATCCCATCCTAGCCGCGTTTCCCAACGCCAAATTCTACGCCGCCCCCTACGTCTGCTCCCGCATCAACGCCGAATACGACCAGAAAGTCAAATACTGGCCGACGGTGCTCGGGTCGGACGCCGTTCCCGCTAAGCCCCGCAAGCCGGACCCGTACTTGTCCAGCTTCTTCATGCTGGAGGGGAGTCCCGTTGTGCTGTTGGGTCCGGTGCAGGGTGATTGTGTGGATCAGACGGTTTTCTGGATTCCGGAGTGTAGGACGGTGGTTGCCGGTGATGTTGTGTTTGGGAGGAGTGTGCATGTTTGGTTTGTTTCCCCCCTGCTCCCTTCTCTGGAATCCACTTCCAGTTCTTTACATTGTTGGATAAGGTTTCGGAAGGGGTTATTCTGGACGAGAGTTATTGGCTGGCTTATATTATCTATCTACCTATCTATCTATCTACATTCTGATCTTACATCTACTTATGAACATATAACTATACTATAGGGTCGAAGAACTCGAATCCCCCGCTCTCGTACACGCATGGCTCAAAACCCTCGACATGATCGACCATCTACACCCAATGAAAATCATCCCGGGTCATATGGAAGCAGGATGGGAATTGGACGTCAAGGCGGATCTAGAGCACACGAGACGCTATCTACGCCTGTTTGCGGAGAAAGTCGTCTATGCTTCTGGCAGTGGGGGCAGTGGTAGCAGCAGCAGCAGCAGCAAACCTTCCGTGCAGGAGCTATATGATACCTTCAAAGAGGCGTTTCCTGAGTGTCGGCAGAATCTGGATTTCTTTCTAGGACATATGGCGAATCGGTTTGGAGAGGGAGGGAGAGTATGGGAGGAGAATCGGCATGAGGATGTTGGGAGGAGGACTTTGGAGGAGTTGAATGGGTATTGGTTTGGGTGATTCCTTTTTTTCTTTTTCTTTCTTTCTTTCTTTCTTTCTTTCTTTCTTTTTTTTTTCTTCTTCTCTCTGATGCAATTCTCTACTTGGTATAGAGGGTGGTGTTGGGTAGACAGTATGGATTTGTATCTACTGGTAGCAAGGGGGTGTACATATGGGTGAGGGTGGGTGTCAAGGGAATTACTGCAGTGGTTTGCTTCTATGCTTCCAGCTCTTATTTATTATCCATGATGGGACTGAACTACCCACGTTTAACGTAGATGTCATTCCTATCCATCTAGTATTGTATCACACAAGCATCGTCGATGCTAAGCTAGAATCCTGTACTGTCACGCCCAAGCAATCCGCCGCACATCAACAGACTCGAAAAAAAGAAATACATGCTCTTCCAGTGGCGGCCGACGGTCCATCTGGCACAAGAGAGAAGAAAAGCTCAAAAGCTGGCATCGGAGTCTGTCGACATGGCCAGCAGTAAACACAGCGAAAAGAAAATTGTCATTACAACTCCAGCTCCCTGTCAATCAGGAAGCACATAGACAGAATAGAGTGCAAGCAAAGAAACAGGCAAAAACCGTGCCGCAACAGATCATGGCTCCTCCAACGCCGTCCCATTGTGAAAGCCGGGTATATCCAGCACCGTGATGCAAAATTTGTACGGAGAATTAACAGATATGGCGAGGACATGACCATGGGTCTGCTGAATCTGTCCAGCAACTCACAATGCCAGACACAGATCCAACAGAGTCTAGCCCTCACCTTTAGAACAAGGACCCTATGCATGAAGCAAAGCCAAGAAGGCAGAGAAAAGAAACGAACAAGCCACAAAGCTTTTCATCCCATCAGGTTTCCGTCCCGTTCGTTTACCTGGCCCCGATCCCAAACATACCAACCCCGTAACTTCCACCTCGGTCAGGTAGAGGGGTAGATATCTTCGAAACGTGGTCCTTTTCGAAAAATAAGCGAATGTGATCAGTATGTTAGAATGCCAGTTCACCGTCCGAACGCCCTACCTTCTTCCGTTTTTTCTTCCCCATGCCTTCACTGTTTGAATAAAATGCCCCATCGTCATCGTCGTCTGCGTAACCTTCGCCGTATCCAACAAAGCTATTGTCGTCGTAATGCCGTTTACGTCCCCTGCTGGGCCGGGCTCGCTCTTGGTCCGAAACAGGCGCTGGGGTTCCATTCGGTTGGGAAATCCGGACTCCATTGGGAGGGGGTGCGACGCCCTTTTTGCTGGCGTCGCCACCGGCGTGTTTAGATGGCTTCTCGTGGCCCAGAACATCTTCCCAATACTCATTGTTCGGTACCGTACCAGGCTCCATTTTCATGGCCCTCATCTGCAAGTTATGCAGCGCAGAGTCCATGTCCGCTACCTTGATCTCCTTCCCGAACACCTTCTGGTTTTGCCATTCTTCCTCTGGCCACATGGTCATGTGCCTAAGGCTGCCGGGCGCACCAGGCTCAGTCTTCACTGGCTTGTTCCTCCCTGCGAGTCCCAAGCCCTTCAGTTTTCCTTCATAAGATTTCCTAAGCCTGTTGATCTTCTCGCCCGTTACAGGATCCATCCGAGCAACAGACTTTGCCACTGGACCTAATCCGTAGAGTGAGATGAGATCTAGCGACGGATCCGGTCCAGTCGCAATATGGGCTGTACGTTCATAAAGCCACATGTGTTAACAAAGCTCAATCCAGAAATGAGGTGGGAGAGAGTGCATTGCAAATTGTGGCAACAGCCATGCCAAGGACTGGGGAGCTCTTACAGCTTTTGCAAACATGAAAGGCAGACGAAAAGTTCTTCTGCAGGGATTCCAAGCTTGGCTCACTGCGACTGGATGAAGCCGGCGCCTCACTATCGATATCCATAGCGTCGCCTCCGTTGTTCGCAGCAAAATCGCGGACTCCAACTTCCATATTTATACCTTCTGTATGCCGGTCATGATCTGTCCGTCTGTGTTCCGCCTGCTGTATGGCCGCGGCATTCATATTCGCTGCTCGCGCACCAGTGTCTGGAGCTGCCGAGCCCATTGGCTTATCTGTATGTTCAGAATCATCGAAGGAAGTCGCACCCGGGAAGTGCCCGCTCACGCTGCTGGCCGGCGTCGGAAACGAATTCGCCGTACCTACCGTCGGTTGTTGCGAGGCTTGAGTGGACATCGGAGCGGAAGACGGGGGTGATGAGAGAGTTGCGGATTGAGAGGTCGCCTGGTTAGGTGATGCTTGCGAGGATACAAAGTTGGTGGCATAGTTCTGGGCGCTTACCGACATCAACGGAGGTGATGTCGGAGTCTGTGGAATTCGATCGGACAAGGGAGCTGGCAACTGGTTCTGCTTGAGAGCTCCTGCGGCGGGAGACGATGGTGATGGAGGTCCTACTCGAAATGATGCCGAGGAGGCGCGATCAGACATCGAGGACGGAGTGCAGGGTGACGAAAGAGGAGGTTGGCCTAAGCCTGGGCAGCCCGAGCCTCGCGAAAGGGAGACCTGAATCGAAGATCTTCAACACAGCAGCAGATCACAGCAGATTCAGACTAGTATCAAGACGAGGATATGGGGAGAAACGCCGGTCGAGGTGCGCTCAAGCGGGCGAGCAGGACGTTCCACGACCGTCTTAAAAGTCACACATTCCAATGAAGCGACACAGCACTGAGGTGAAATATCGAACAGCACCAGGTAGTGAAGAATAGACCAGCGAAAGAGTGAATGGCGTGGTCTGTGGGTTAGGTCGAATTCTGGCGGGGTGGGTAGAAGTTCGAGAAAGCGCTGGGATGGGAAACCCTTGGTCCGCAACTGGAGGAGAAACGGACGGCGAGATGTTGGATGACGGCAAGAGCCCCGGGATGGGCACGTGACGCGCCCTCATTTCTTCGATCTTCCCTCTTTCGGCCTCCGCGCCCGTATTTCGGTATCAATACGCGCTAACAATACCGATACTCGGGCGTATTGTCGGGTAAGATACGGAGTATGCATCGGTAACGGACATTCCCTCTTTTTCTTCCCTCACTCTTTCTTGTCTTTCTAGACCAGGTCAACTAACTACCTGCTTACCGTATTCGCCCTGTTGGCCATCGCAGGTTTGGCCATCTAGACATTTTTCCCCGTGGATGTGATCTATGTTTGCCACGACACGCATGGGCACAAAGCGCCTTACTAGCGGCTCTCATACCCCCCTGTTGGGCGCTGGCCTAAACCAGGAGAGAAAATAGTGGCAGAGCACCGCCCCTCGGAAAGTATTACCTGGGGTTATTGCATAGTTTCACCCGAAAATTTCCTTGCTTCTAGAACCATAACTACACTTGACCCATCTATAGAATATGCAGTTGACCTGCCTGAGGTGAGAGGGCTTTGTGGCCACTCTTTGACCCCTAAGCCATGTCAACACCTAAAGACAAAATAAAATAAGCTTATACTCTTCTACCAAAACCATTGATTGAACCCTTGAATCCCGAACTAGTGATCGGAACCGACTCGCTCCAAACACCCAGATGAACCTCATCAAATTCCCAACACGATGACCCTTGGGTATATTGAGATCCATAAATCCAAAAATATTATGGTAACACAATAAGAAGAAACGAACCAGATGAAGATGGCCCGTACAAAGAAAGCTCAAGAAACACGCTGATATGACTGAATCAAGAAGAGCGAGACGCTCTCATAGAAAGCTTTCAAAAACCATCCACATGTCACGATTGGTAGAATGTTGCAGATTCTTGCACTAATAACTGCGCCGAAACGTCAGGAATGTTGTCTTCTAACGTTTCCATCAGCTCCATCTGCTCCTGGTGGCTGAGCGTCCTTCCTCGCCACGGGGGCATGGGGTAAGCGCCATTGGTGTATTGGGAATATTGATCTCCTATCGTCTCGATCCAGTTCATGGGATCGACCGTCGCGTCGACATAGGCTAGATGACTAGCCGTCGTGGACGCTAAATTGAAATTGGGATCCCAGCCTGGCAAGCCCGGAACGACGGATGGGAAAGAATTGTATGGAGTTGTCGGGTCGAACGATAAGTCTGCGTAGGAAGGTGTCGGTACATTGTAGGATTGGGGGGAACTGAATGAGGGTTGTGTGGTGGTTGATACGGATTGCGGAGTGAGTTGAGCATCCCAGGATGGGTGCTGCGCGGCCTTCAGTGATTCAGTGGCAATAGGTGATGAGGTCGACCCCTGGGAGAAGGAGAATGAGGGGTCTGCAGAAGGTCCCCTCGAAAATGTGCCACCCGATACGCTGCTTTCGGGGATTGAAGAATTCGCTGCGCGAGCTCCATGTGAGGGGAATGATGCCGACGTACTTGCAGGGCTAGAGACGGATAGCGGTGTCGTGACATCCTGCGAAGATGACGGAGTTGCATGATTAGACGGCGAATGGACGACGAAAGACTCTTCGGTAGCATATGCGCGAAGGCAAGCAGCAACCAGGCTCCTATAGAGTACCAAGGCCGATTCAACACCAGGCCATCTCTGTGCAGCAAGAACAATAGCCTCCAGGGCCACGCCGAGGTGACCTTTGACTTCGTCAATAGGGTGTTCTCTGCGAATGTCAGGATAAGAGAGAGACCAGAGGATAGTGTTCAAGGCCATGAAAAGTGACTGGGTGAAAATCCATGTCAAATCAACGGATCCTGTTGCGATTTGTTCTCTCTGCATTGCTACGTTGAATACGGACGCATCATAGCACTTTCGCGCAGCCTCAACGGAAGGCTCCGGCACTTGGGGCGAAGGCCGGAACATAAAGACAATCATCGTGTTTCGTCTTCCATGAAACCTATTGAAAGCCACATAAAGATAAGCACCCAGAAACAAAGAAGCTAGTCGGAACTTGTCCTTACCATTTTTGACTCAAGCCACTACCCCCATCATTTTTGGGACACGAAGCTACCCAGTAATCGATCTTCTGAAGCATTTGCGAAAACCACGGGTCTTGATCGTCGACTGGTACATCGCGCTTATTCAGGTAGAGCGTCCGTCGAATCTCTGCCTGGAGCAGCCGCATCTTCAGGAAGTGAATAGCTATGCACTTGGGTAGGATTATTTTCGCTCCTGGTAGGAAGCCATCCGCAGTGATATACTTGTCCTCCACCGGCTCGAAGAACTTGACGTTGATGTGATCGTGACAAACGGAGTAGCAATTCGGGCGACCAAGGCTATGGGAAAGACCGTACTCCATGGATATGACAATCCAGAACAGTCTTCTTCGCATATCAATCTCTAGAGGGTCCAAGGTCTGCCCGCTGGGAGATTGAGTAATGGTCGCTTCATCGGTAAGCCCTAAGTCTTGACATAACTTGACTGCCATTCCTACGACCCAATATGCCGCTGTCCTTGTTGGCGTGAGCATGGAGTATTGAGCAATCAGGGCAAGGCATTGCAAAGATCGAAGGTCCATTCGTTTTAACGACGGTTCCAAGTACGGCAGCGCCGCAAGGTAATAACTGTCCGCCAAGCCTGCGTAAACAGTGCTCATCTTTTGCATACTGATGGCTATCACCATGCGTAATTGAAAATTATGGCAGGGATCATTAGACCCGTTAAGCACCTCTTCGGCTTCTTCGCGGAAGGTAGGCTCGTGCAAGGTCGGAAGCATTGCCTGGGCTAAACGGCAAGTCAACCATGACTGTACAGCTGCATAGGATAGAATGCGAACGTACCCTTGACTACAAAGACATCAATAAGTCTGTATGTTATGTGTCTTGGTGGTAAAGTAGGCTGCGGCGTCGAACTGATCATGGGATACACCTTTGACGTTGGCTTGGAGCTCTCTTGTGCAAAGGCATCTTTTATCTCCTGCGCTGTCATTTCAGGAACGACGTCTTTGATGCTTTTGGAATCTGTATTTTGCTTGGCCAGTTCCATAACGAGGCGCGTGATCGCAATACCGCTGGACGGTCCCAAATATCTCGACTCGTCATTCTCCTTGAAGCGAATGCGACCTGCCCCGCGCACCATGAGCTCCGCGTCCGCTGCATGTTGAAACTGTCTCTCGACTTCAGCAAGCTCGCTCTCTAACCGACGAGCTTTCTCTCGGAGTGAGACAATATGATCCCTTGATAATGTCCTTTGAGACGCCGAATCGTAAAAGACACACTTGGCGTTGACGCGTTCGCATGGTGAGCATCGAGGGATTCCGGGATCACACCTAGATTTACGCTGTATAAGAGTTAGAATCTTCTTGTTTTCGAGCCAGCGAGATAAATCAAGGAGTACATGGTAGAGAACGCGGAATCACGTATAAACAAAGTCAGCGATAGAGTAAGAGACACTACGTACATGTCTGCACCGCGTACAAGCAGTCAACGTATGCGCAATCCGGCTATCAGGGGTATGAACAGACGGCTCTGATATTGTTGATGGAGAGTCCGACCAGGGGTTGGTGAATTGTGGGCGGGAGCTTGAGGAGTTTAAATGTGTGGCCATTGTGGTATGTCGTGCAGGAGCACCCCTATATTAGGTTGACCGAAGGTTTGCAAGTTTAGCCGAAAGAATCATCAACGTTGCATTCTATGTATCGCATAAAGCCTTAAAAAATGGGGAAGCTTTTGAGAGGTCTGATCCGAGCGTCAGGCACACGCGACTGTGGAAATTTGAAGGGGCACTTGAGGAACGAGCACGTTCGACATGTTCAGGGTTCGCTCTGACATGCACCAGCTGCTAGGAGTAGGCGGGCAATACCTGCACAGATCTAGGGGTGGGGGGTCTTGTACAGGTTGAAGAGCTCAGCTAGCACCTCACACGAATTCCAACTCACGGTACCCGTTCAGACATTGACAAGAAACACAAGATATGCAGTTGCGAATTTGAAATGGGGCGCAAAGGAGGGGGTGAGGTGGAAACTGAAGTGAAGCAGGCCTCGGTCCACCTCCCGCCTGGATCGACGGCACGCTAAAGAGCGCCCCGATGACCGACCGTCGCACTTACCAGGACTACGGCCACCCACAGCTGCCCCTTGCGAACACTGGCCTCGAAATTGACGGGTGGGACAAATTCCACCCCGGTGGGCCTCTTTCTCCCCCTCCCCTCTCCTCCGTACCGGATAATTTTCTGAATGGAAATGATGGCTTCGCGATCCGTAAGTCAGTCAGATTATTTTGAATTTCCGGTGGCTGTGAGAAAAATAGAGAGGGAGAGCTTATAGTAGGTCGGAAGTTTCACAGACACGAGGATACATATACTGATGACCTAGCACATAAGTAAAAAAAAGTATGCATAACCTTTCTCGGGGATCTGCGGTGGCGGATGATCTAGTATCAATTACTACTGGGGTTCCTCTAATAATTTGGGAAGGGGGCAGTAGCAGTAGTAAATTACCAGTACTACCTATCTAGTACTATCAACTAGTTAGTCTCAGTCCTTTTCGAAGGTGAGTCTGTAAGAAATAACACTGTAGGAGCCTTGAAGTCATTGAACTAGATGAGCCGCGCTCTTCGAGTACGCACAAAAATGAATAGTGTGGATGAGGTAACTATCGAAGAGATAGCCATCACAACTCTCGAGATAGTAAGCCTTACATCGGTTGGTTGCCTGCTTTGGTCGTACATGGCATCGATACTACTACTTACTGCCATGACATAAGTACTACGGAGTAAATTCTGTCCTTTCTTTGTCAGTCCTAATTTCTCAGCAATAGTAAGTCCCTTGGCAAGTCTACTCGTCAACACTCTTTGCATAGTTGTAGTTCGGACCAGAGCCGACAAGTCTACCAACATATTATGGGGAGCCTCCAGAGGAATTCCGCGGGATTAAAATCCAGAGAGTCTAGCCCCCTTTGGGAGATATGGTAGAT